AAATGGGTTAACTTACAAAATGCTTCCAAAAGCCAAAAGCCATGATTCCTGTGAAATTGACCTTTGGCAAATTATGTTATGACAAGCATTATCATAATGCATTTTATTTCAGAATGCAAAATGAAATAAAACAATTCCTGTGATCAACTACTGTCATTTGACTGTGCTATACAGTTCAACATCGATTACTTCCAAGATATTCAAGAATCTGGTAGGAAAATATCTCTGAAAATAATGACACAATGATTGTGTGTGTGTATGAGAGAGAGAGAGAGAGAGGTGGGGAGAGGGAGAGGGAGGGGGAGAGAGCCAGGCAGCAGGATCAGCTCCAATATATACATGCGCTATTTTCAGGCAACTTTGAAAAAATGTGATTTTGTACACTAAAACCAAAGGATACAATCAGCGTCCACACACCAGACTGCACCAGTGTGGCCATTGTATGTGCCAAGCCTCTCACCATTGACAGAGTACCAAACATTAACAGTCTGATAAACAAAAAATAAGGTACATTTAATAAAACCATAATATAAAAACTGGTACATAATAACAACTTCCTGATTAAATATTTTGATTAGTCAATAACTTACAGACAAGATTAAGTAACTTGAAATTGATTATATAATAATGGAGTAAAATTAAGACAGTAGTAAGTTATTAATTAACGATGAAGGACAATCATTAAGAAAATTAAATCCATTAACAGGTTTCACAAACTCTTAATTATTAGCACTATTACAGGTTGGGAAGAATATTGTGAACAGGACATTCTGAGTAGATTTTAATAGATTGTGGTGACTAATATTCACTGAAATAAAACAAAACCTTTAACTGTGGCTGACACATTCACCCTACAACCAGCTGTGTCCATCCACCACAGATTTTTTTTAAATTTTCTTTCAAAGACAATCATGGAGCTGATGCATCATGTGCACGTTTCTTTAGGGTGAGAAAGATTTAAAAAGCAGGATGCCCAAGTTTCATGAAACACAAAAGATACAGATCCATAGTTGGCATATAGGATGCAATTGATTTTGAAGTAAAAGGTGTCTATTTTTCTTCCTTCCATTGTTCTCGCCTATTTATTAGGATAGTAGGAAGAGATTCTCTATTAGGCTAACTGAAAAAAAACCACACAAACTAAGGTAACCATTCAATGATAACATACCGGATCTTTTGCTACTGTAAAAAGCAAATCGCCTTCCCGATTATACTTGATCTGAGTAATTGACCTCTCATGGCCTTGCAACAAAATAGGTTTCTGTAAAGAGAAATTTTAAAAAAAGGTTTTAACACTGTTTACTTGCCAATGACAATGTTAGAAAATATCTTTGTCATTTATAATGCTGCAGCTGCTATTCCGCTGTGAAAAGAAGGATAAAATAATAATGTGCTGGGCAACAGAACTGAAATTCCAAGTTTTGGTTTTAAGGGGTGAAACAGGTGACATATTTCTTCTATAAGAAAATAATAAAGAAAAAAAATGAAAAGACAACAGAGTTTAAAGATGTATTGGGTTTTTTGTTTCTTTTAACAATCCTGTAATCCCTTGCAGTCACCTGACTTGGGGGGGGGGAGTTGGGTGACTGAATAGAGATGAATGTTTGTTTGTTTGTTAGCTGCCTACATGGCACCTGCAGCAGATATTTTCTCTTCGTGCCCAGAGAGAGAAATATCCGCCTAGGATTGAACACATAGCTTCCTGTTGTGAGGCAGAGTTCCACCCTCAGGACGCCTTTCCACTCTAAAAATGTACTGTAATATCTTAAATTTATTTATTTCAAGCATGAAGATGTGTAGATAGGTGGTGGGGCAGGTGAGAAAAGATGAGATCATCCAAGTTTAAAAGAAAAGCTAAGTATCCCTTAAAAGGTTTAACAACTGAGAAATCAAAACTGACCATACATTTACTGTGAACTTAATAGGATATACTTCCTAGTAAATAGGCCCAGAATTACAACCTTCTATTTTCGTGCTCAGTCTTTCCCCAGGAACAGGAATGAGTTGCCCAGAGATGTAGCAGGATGCTTGTAGTAGAACATTTAGGTTCATTGCTTTTTGTTATTTCTTTGAGCTACTATTAATTAGGATACAAAACAAATCCAGGAATAAATCTTTTAGGGTTAGGGTATATTGCTTTCCTAAGCAGTGAATCTTGCTATTCTGTTTTCTCTTGTTATGCATTGGTGATGTTTGCCCATCGTGTTCGAAGAGGACCTTGACATCTAATAGGTTGTGGGCTGCCACAATGTGTCCGCAAGTGGCTGGTAAGGCCTATATGGGCACGGAATGTTCTGCCACATGTCGGGCAGACATATGTGGACAGCCTTGTTGCAGCATTTGCAGCTCTGGCTTTGCGGAGTGCTCGCTTCTCTTGTGCTCTAGTTGTTCTTCTGTCTTTGGAGGCCTGGCAGCCGTGGTGGATCAGCGTGCGCCACGTTGATCGGTCTTGTGCCAGGGCTTTCCAGGTGGTGTCGATATCCAAGGACTTGAAGGAGGCTTTCAACATGTCTCTGTATCGTTTCCTTTCTCGCTTTCCTTGAGACAGCTCGCCATACAGCAGCTGTTTATGGATGAGATGGTCTGGCAGCCTTGCCACATGGCAAGGTGTGAACTGATGGCAGGCCTGCATTATTCTGCCTCGATTTTATTGGGGCAGCTTCATTTAATTTTTATTTTATTGCATGCTCCTCTGAATCGAAGTACAGGAACAATGCTTATAAAAATATCCCTTTAGCCCAGAGCTCTTCAAATATGGCCACTTTTAAGACTTGTGGACTTCAACTCCTAGAATTCTTCAGGATCCCTTGTGATTCTGTCATTACGGACTTCCTAGTTCTCTAGTCCAGTGTTTCTCAATCTTGGCAACTCAAAGTGTGGACTTAAAACTCCCAAAATTCTCCCAGCTACCCAGGGCATTCTGGGAGTTGAAGTTCACACATCTTCAAGTTACCAAAGTTGAAAAACAAAGGTTTGTTTTTTATATGAATAATGTCAATTTCCTTGCATAAGCGGATGGTGGTCTAGAGCAGAGCTCTTCAAACTTGGCCACTTTAAAACTTGTTGGACTTCAACTTCCAGAATTCTGGAAGTTGAAGTCCAACAAGTCTTAAAGTGGCCAAGTTTGGGGACCCCTGATTTAGGCCCAAAGTGAAACGTTCCTTCTTTTAGGGAACCTTTCCTCGTCCTGAGGGCCCTGATCCGTTTGCGTTTCTACTGGAAGAGGCGCCACTCGGTTCAACCCGAGTCGCTTCCTCCCCACCCGTAGACCTGCGAGATCTTTCCCTTTTTGAGCCTTAGGAAAACTAGCGGGGTTGCCTCCCATACCAATGGAAACCAACCAACGTCTGAATTAATTAATTATCTGACTTAGTTAATCTAATTAACGATTTATTCGCCTGAAGAAATCCGAGAGACGCAGAGACTCACCATGGCTGCGGGGACAACGCCGGCAGCACGAGCGGAAGACACGAAGAACCATTTCCTGGGTGAGGCCCAAGGCGTTGCTTCCGGGTTAGGCCGGAAAGAAGCGGTCCTGCAAGGCCTAGAGAGAAGCGTGTTGGCTAAGCATCCACTTCCGGTGCTGTTCGGAGTGCCTCCATTAGCGGGGCGAATAGTTTCCTATCAAGAATGTGTCATTTTATAGAAGATGAAGCTGACTCTTGCATAACGCTTCTCTCTATTTCAACGGCTTTTTATTTCAACCAAAGGAGTCGGAATGAACCGAATCGTTTGAGATCGAAAGAGCCATTTTGCATTGGGAAGCTTCCTCTTCCCTCTCCGCAGAGACCCAATTCGCCTTCCAAATTTTTTTGGCAATACACGAGTGACTGAGTCTCTTGGGCCGCTATTCCCCCTCCGCCCAAGCGAAGCTTGAATCCTAGCGGAATGTAGGGTTGAGCCATAGAGGTGTATGCCTAGAGCACCACCCCTGACAGCTGTTTTGCACGAGGAAGAAGACAGACTTTGCAGACTCTATGGTGCCCCGGTCGCCATGGCGTCGCTGGGTGAGGGAGCCGCTTCCGGCGCCTCAGAGATTGGGAGGGTGGGGGTGGGGGTGAGGGGCAGAGGGATGAGAGGGAGAAATGGTTGTTTTAAGAGAAGAGGGGTTGATGAGGCTTTTAGGGATAATGTAAATGGCCTGCTAGTTGGGGAGGATGGGAGTTGTAATTCCAGCGCCTGCGGAGGACACTAATTTTAATCTAATTTGTTTATTTGTCAAACATGCACAAGATAACAGGTATAAATGTAAACATGATTATGAATTTATGAAATGGATACAAGGAAACAATAGGAAAGGGACAGTAGGTACACTGGTGCGCTCATGCACGCCCACTTTGCGGACCTCTTAGGAATCGGGTGAGGTCCACAGTGGACAGTTTAAGGTTAAAGCTGTGAAGGTTTGAGGGTGTAACCATAGAGTCGGGTAGAGCATTCCAGGCGTTGACCCCTCTGTTGCTGAAGTCGTATTTTTTGCAATCAAGTTTGGAGCAGTTTACCTTGAGTTTCGATCTATTGTTTTCCTGTGTGTTATTGAGGTTGAAGCTGAAGTAGTCGTTGACAGGTAGGATGTTGTAGCAGATAATTTTGTGTAATAAGCTTAGGTTAGACTGTAGGTGGTGTAGTTCTAGGTGGTCCAAGCCCAAAATCTCGAGTCTGGTGGCATAAGGTGTGAGCAGTGGAGTGGAGGGCTCTTCTCATGAAATACCTCTGGACTTGCTCAATTATATTAATGTCTGATATACAGTGTGGATTCCAGGCAGACGAGCTGTATTCGAGGATTGGTCTGGCAAAGGTTTTGTGTGCCCTAGTTAGCAGTGCAAAGCTTCACAAGATTAGGTTAATCACTAGGCGGAAGCAACTCAGCTTCATGCCATGTGCTTCACACACACACCACACGAAACCATTATAAATGTGTGTATTGTCCTTCCCCCCCCCCCCAAAGGGAGCTCAATTGCTTCCAAAGATTGGGAGGCGTGGGGGGGGGGGGGTTCCAGGAATTGGGGAGGGACACTGACTCTCCAGGTTGGCCAAAGAAGAAGTACAAAGAGGGAGCGCAGATGAGTTGAGAGGGTCCTCCGAGGCTGTTTCAGCATAGGATCTGCTCAAGGAAATAGATCTCTGGCCTTTTCTGGCCAGAGACTGAAGGTTCGACCTGGGGGCCTTGTGCATCCAAAGCCAAGTGTTTCTGAGCTTTTCATCTATTGGCTTTTTTTAAAATTTGATTATTGACCTGGGTGAATAGGTTAGGATTAGGGCAATTGGAAGGAGGATTAAGCAAGTGCTACAAATCCTTTTCTATTCATATCTGTGGGTTGTGCCAGTCCGCAAAATTTAACTGCAGCACTGGATTTCTCCTTCAAGAATGTTTTTTTTTTAATTAAAAAGTTTTTTATTAGATACACATTAAAAACATTGGATATAATGCAACATTTCTGGCATAAACATTTCCATATAGTTTTTGGATCTTACAACAATTACATTTTATATCCATGTTTGTTTTTGTACCACTTGCTCCTTAATTTTAGGTGTAAGCAAAGCTCACTAATATACAGGTAGCCCTTGACAGACAGCCATAATAGAGCCCCCTCCCTATAGTTGTAAGTAGTGACAGTTATAAAAGTGGGTCAGTCATGTGACCAATATGATTTTACAGTCTTTTTAAGCAGTCATTAAATGAACAAAGTCATAAAGCTTTAAGGTAGGTTTGTTGTAACTTTGAAGGTCATTAAATAACTGTTGGTAAGTTCAAGACTGCCTATAATAGGACTTAACGCTAAACAAGATGCAATGTACTTCATGCATCTTAAAATCTGTAAAACATAAGTATATTTGTATTGAAAGAGAAGGATGATTATTCATTGATTAGCTACTGCCTTACCAAGGAATACAGTTGTAATGGATGAATAACCCCTGCTGTGAGTACTTCATTAAACAATTTGTCAATGAGATGTCATCTTGCAGGTGATGTTGCCATTTTGATTTTGGTAGCAATTCTTTGGGGAACAACCAATCCATTTTTGAAAAGAGGAACTGAGGGTCTGGAGCAGGTAAAGAGAGAAAGCAGACCTCAGCAGATGCTGGCGGAAATAAAGTTCCTTTGCCTGAATTACAAGGTATTTGCCATTTTACACAGCACATTTCACACTGTTTTTTTCTAATCTTAACTACTTAAGATCTATGGCTTTCAATTTCAAGAATTCCCCAGCCAGTTGAAGTCCACGTGTCTTAAAGTTGCCATGTTTGGGAAACCCTCTTCTATAGTGCAAAACATTCCATTATGGAATTCAAAACAATCCTATGCTGAGTGTCCCACTGTTTTGAGATCAGGTCACTCACAGAGCCCAGTCCTTGTCAGTCGGCACCCCTACCATTACCTGAAGCTCCTTTGCAACAGGAATCTGAGTTGCCTGTGCATCTTTACACCTGCAGACATTTCTTTTCATGCTCATTAGACCATCCCTCCTGCCTTTTAAAAAAAACAGTGTTTTTATTAAAACATGGGATTGGAAGCTGATTTTTCTTTAAAAAGGAAGATAAACTAGAAACAGGAAGTAACTTTCTGGGGCACCGGCAGCAAGTAAAGGGATGATTGTTGAATGGCTATGCCCTTCACGATAGACATTATCTCTTCATGCCTATTAAACAAATTCAAAATGTTCCTACTGACCCAAGAAGTAAATGATCCCTGGCCAGGTTTGGGGGAAGGAAATACTATGGAAGGTACCTGGACTGCACCAGCCTGTTCACATCACAAGATTTTTTTTTCTAAATCTTACACGATACTGTAATAAGATATTAGTATGGTATTAAATTTAATTTTATTTTTACTTGATGATATTCTTATAGTAATCAGGCTTTGGTTAACTGATTCTTTGATTACAACATTTAGTAGCTTTCCCAATGGAGAAGTAATTCCTTGTCTAAATTTCTCTTTTTGAAAAGTTTTTTTTAATTTTAATTGAACAAAAACACAAAAAAAGAATCATCATTACATCTTGTCGAAAGCGTGTTGATTGGTTACATATAACTTTCATGCATTCCACAGTTACTTATAGTTCATATTAGATTATACACTTTAAATCAAAAATGTTTGTATATTTTACTATCAATGTACCACAATTCTCATTTGATTACAATTATTTGAACATACTTTTACCTCAATTCATT